TTGGGGGGGGGGGGGGGGGGGAACAACCTTTCCCTCCCCTCCCTTCTGAATTCAGCAGATGCCTTAAAAAAATAAAAAAGGTATAAACTAATGAACTTTTCTGTCCCATAATATGGTCCTTGGTGATAGTTTAGCCCAAATAAAAAAAATAGTATTTGAAATTCACTAGAAATATTTGATTTGTATTTCTATGAACATGCTTTACTTCTGTCTGTTAGTATTTTTTCCCTGATCCCTTCTGATAAAAATTGATACTGTATAGTTGCAAGAAAGAGACTGACAGAGAAACAGATATTATGCAATCAAGCACTGCATACAAAGTATTTTGTATTATTCAAGCTAGGCAGAGGCCTTTATTCAGTATATTACCTCTGTATATAAATCTTACCTCTTAAATTAAACTTTATAAAAAGGCATAAAAAAAGATTTCCATATATTATCCTATGCTCTGAACTAGAGACTGGCTCAAACCAAAACCACAGATCTCAAACAGCCAAAGTTCAGGAGAGCTGGAGTCCAAAACTGGATCCAAATTTTTCCACGTTCTATCTATGGGAGGAGGTAAAAAGGAAACCACTAAAATCTAAGTCAGAATTTTGTAGTTCGAGCCCACCTCTATTTTGGAAACATAATTCTGCTACTAACAAGTGTCATTTTCATCATAAGGTTATTTTTGCTATAATCTGAAAATGCACAAGTAATTCTTCAAAGTCTTGTCTTCAATTGCCCTAACAAAACATAGCTCTCAGAAATCAGATCACATTGATTTATTTTAAAAAGAAAGGTATTAAGATCACTCGGAGTATAGAATGCCATTAACCACATATGAAATTCAAATATTTAGTATTCCTAACATTATACAAATTATGCAACTAGTTCAATGTAACCTACAATATCGACCATGGATCTACAGCACATAAGCATCACAATGTGTTTCTTTATTACCACAATTTCACTGGTCCCAGGTATTTTAAAAAATAAAAGGACTAAAGCAGCAGCTATAATACATCAAGATTTCATCAAGAGATACGCTTGAAGTTATCATCATTTAAAACTGTGAAAGTATAATTTAACAAATACAAGTCACATTTACAGCATAAGGCCCTTTGGTTTCTTAAGCAGCAAATGAAAGAATTTCTTCAGAGAAAGGCTTTGAAAAATAATGTAGGCTTAAAACCCCCCAAAAGAAACAAAAAACAAAAGTTAACTAATTCTTTCCTTCTCAAAATATCCAGCTATAGTCTTCAAAATATTACATAAGAAAGTTCCTGAAATTCCTAGGAAAGACAAAGTTAGAACCCTACAGTGGTAACCGACAGAGCAGAGATTCCATCATGGGGAAGCTGAACATCTACCTCTTGGGAAGCAAAAAAACTACTCCTTGATTTTGTGGAGAACTTTATTAAATTTGGAGCAATACAGAATAAGGGTTTAAAACAGCTATGTACTCATCAGATATGTTCTAGTGCTTACAGATTTTCACTTGAGAATTCAAATCATAGGTATTTATCCGTCATTAGAGAGCTTGAGTGAAAACTAAATTGGATGTTAAGAGTTCATTCAAGTTAAGGAATTCATGGCTTACTGCTTTTTCATATAGTTGTATGCCACATTAAATGCAGTCAGTTCTTCCCTACAGCCAGAAAATGCTAATTGATTCAAAATATTTCCATATATACAAGCCAACTGTATCAAAACTGAGGCAGATAACACTTAAATTTAGGGACTATTTTTTCCTATGGTGCTTAGTAATAGCTCTGATTCTTAGTTTGCACCAGTGAAAAACTACCAATTTTGCCACTGAAAACAAGAAATATTTTGCTTCCGATTTACATCACTGTTACATGCCATGTTTTAAATAGGACTTTAAGCAGTATGTGGCTCTTTCTCTGGGCCTAAAAACTGGGATCAAATACTACAAAGCAAAGTGCAAGTCTGTATGACTACTGGAGCAATGCACCAGTCATTGCTTTTAGAATATTTACTGTTGCCACTTGACTCATGTTAGAATACACTGAGGGCATCTACACGAGATGCTAAATGCACAATAGACTGATTCTACTGTACATTAATGCGTCATGGCAAAACATGTGCTAATGTGCAGAAGAATTAGTCTACTGTGCAGCAGCATCACTAAAAAGGCGTATGCTGGTGCTACTGCGCAGTAACACTGGTTACTGCACATTGAGCTAGTACCTGTTATTACAGGAACTTGACTTAATGCGCAGTAACTGCAGTGTATTAATGCATGTGTAGACACGCCCTGACTAATCCAAGTGAAAAATCAAATAATTTCAAATCCTTAGCCTCCTGTGTATGATTAGAGACATACCCGTACAAAAATCACTACTGCAATTGACAACCTGAGGCTGCATAAGAATCAAACTTGTCCCATGCTGTTCTGTTGGTATAAATTAAAGGTCATGACATATTCAACAAATATATGGTTAAGTGGTAACAAAACAAATCCATTCTGTTTAGTTTTACACAACACACAAGTTTTTTCAATGTGTGCTAAATCAAGATGTGGCTTTTTAACTGATGGAGTAAAAAAACCACACACACAAATTTCTGAAAATTTAGTTTTTTTATGAATAGACATATGAAGGTTAAATGTATCCTGACTTCAAAGCTCTGAGATTGGGAAAATAAAGCAAACTATTTATTGCATAAGGTGACTTTACACTTAAGCAATTCCACAATATTATCCAGTCAGCAGGTAAATAGTCTTTTTTCCTGTGCAAAAAACTTTATTTTGCCAGATGGGAAATTTTCTTAGTTAAATTTTTACCAAATCATAATAAGATGTCAGTCAGCTTACCCATGATTCAAACTGTAGCAATCATTGAAAAAGAAAGCAAAACATTTTACCCAAAAAGATCTTTTAAGTCATTGCTAGCTGAGCTGCTGCTTGTCATAGTGTTGTTTGTTGGCTGTGCAAAGTTCTGAGGATTAAAGAAAGGATTACCCTGCATACCAAAACCAGGTTGTCCTACTATGTTCATCTGTGGTCCCAACACTGAACTGGTTGTGCCTGGGGACCCCTGAGGGGGTACAAATTGATTAACCCACGGGGTTGATTTCTGCTGTGCCAGCTGGTTCATACTGACTTTGGGTTTTTGAGGACCAAAAAGATTATCTAGAGAAGACATATCTGCAGGTCTGTTTTGTTGGGTCAGCTGTGAGACTGCAGATGTTGCACTCACAGGGCTATAGTTTGGCATATTGGGGGCTGGCACTATGTTAACCTTGGCTGTTCCAGTTCCACTTGGACTGCTGAAGAAATTCTGGTTTGTGGTACCAGCCCCCATGCTGAATCCAGAAGTCTGAAGACCTATGGTAGTATTCAGGCCATTTGTCATGTTTCTTTTTGTGCTGTCAACAGGTGATGAAAACCCCATTCCAATACCCATAGATGGGACAGAAGAGAAGCTGCCTGAAGAAGCAACTTTAGGTTTACTAATAGAATGACTGGTCAAAGATGACATATTATCTATCAAAGTTTCTGTTAAGTCCTTTGCCTGAAAAACATACAAAAATAGTTTAATGTTTTGTTTTTACAGATACAGTAACAATATCTTATCACATTGCTTCTGCAGTTGAAATTCAAGGTGATGTTCCTTTAATATATTTTTCAGAAGCCAGAATTCATTTGACCTTTTGTTTGACTAAAAATGATCATGAAATGTATGCATGGTAGTTTCTTTAACATTACAGAGAAGACATTTTGGTAACTGCAGTCTTTTAAGTACACAGAATTTGAGTTTTGGCATCCACGTCTGACAAACACTGTTTATTATAACTGTTCAAAGAGAATTTCAATCCAGCATGCATTAACTGTACAAAACAGTTTCCATTATGGTCAAGGGGAGTCTCACATGGATAAATGCTCCCACACAGTATCATGCTGAAAGTGTAGCAGTTGCACTACATGCATGCTGGCCATCTGACCAATAGGCAATAACTGTTCTCAGCAAATCAGTATTCTGTAACACAAATGCTATATTTCAACATGTATGGGTCTAAATTTAACTCAGTAATGCAACTGAAGGGTGGCGAGAGCAGCTCTGGGGGGACACTTTTTTTGGGAGGGTGGAGGAGGGGTGGGGGGGGGATAAGCGTACAATAGCCACTGCTGCTGTGGTGGGCTGGCTGTGCTTCCATGGCACCATGGCAGCTGGAACTGCTCTGTACAGAGCTGCTGCCCATCCATGCCTCTGATTTGGCTTTCAGTTACATATTCAATCCCTACAGAAGTCAGTGGGAGCTGCATGCTTGTATCAGGGCACCAATAAAAAATTCACCACATCTGTCCCTTTTCATAACTGCAACGGGCTACAGTTGCCCAGAGTTATTAGGCCAGAGTAAACTAATTAACTCTGCTGTAGGTTTAGTGCCCGACACAAGTACTATCCTATGGCAGAGTTATTTACTCCAGCACAATTCACATGTAGACGTGACAGGGCTGGCTGGGGCACATGGGTGTTACAGAGTGGGGATGCCTACCAGCAGGCAGCCCCACCCTGTGGCACCCCTGTGCCCCAGCCAGCCAGTCTGCAGCACACTGAGCCAGAGTGGAGCAGCTCCAGGCTGACAGGCTGACCCCACCAGACCCCTTGCCAGCCAGGACGGCACTGCCCAGGCTCAATGTCCTGCAGTCCCAGATGCACATATAAACACTGTGCCTGGGGGCAATAAACTTCAGTGTGAACTTCACTGGAGCTTACTGCATCACACTATTTTCATATGTAGACACACACAGTATCTCAGTACTATGGGTTTTCAACATGGATAAAGGATTAAGAAAAAAAAATAAAAATCTTGAGGCCCATTGCTACTAACATAGGGAATACAAGGTAGGCATAAATGGATAAAAGATTTTTAAAAAACCTCAAAACCCCCCAATCAAACATCCTAGCTTAATGAATGCATGGTCAGACTAAAGTTTGTTTTTGTCTAGCTACAATGACTTTACAGAGTTAACATAAAAGAAAATAAGGGTTTTTCTCTTAGTAAACAAATATGCAAACAAACAGCAAATGTAGTATTTATAATACATACAATACCTGTAAGGAAGTAGGGTCAAGGCAACAATGAAGAGAGCTGAATACAGTAAATACATTCTCTCACCTGTTTTACTGGAGGTGTGATTGTATGCATTTGAGGCTTAAGTGGCTGCTGGTTTTTCAATTTTTGTGCCTGTTCTTGTTCTTTTGCTAACTTTTGCTTCTCTTCAAGTGTAAGTGATGTCTTGAACAGAGAAAACATTGGCATTATCATCAGATGGTAAAAAGGTTTTTTTTTCATTCCCATCTTATTCCAAATGTATTGGAGTATTAAGAATGAGTTAGATCATACATTTAATTAATTTAGTGAATTTCAGTATCTGAAAAAACCTAAAATAGAGTATTGTCTATAAAAGCCTAAATGCCAACAATTCAGTTTTGTCTTTTAATTTCTTTGCCTTCACTCTTTTACATTTCTTGTGGTGGTGGGTTTTTTTTGAGGGTGAAAGGTACCCTATGCAGAAATTAAAGGTTGTCCAAGTATTTTGTTCTAATACCTAAATCCACTACCTAAGTTTTACAATAAAGCTTTGCTAGTTGTTAAATCTGTATTAAAAGTAGGAAGGAAACTAGTTTATAATTTTAGTGCCAATATTGCTGAATTCACAAACAATTTCAGTTTAAAAAAAGTGTTTGTGAACCTTTGGACTGGTGCGTTTGGTTATATTCTCTTTTAAAGCACTAAATACAATGCAAATATTTATGTAATTTTTTTTTCTAAAAATCAGCCTCACATACAAAGACACCTGTGTAACAAAACAACTCTGAACAAACAAATAAAAAATAAAGAAAAAGTTCTGACGTACCTTTCTCTGTTTTGATGACAGTTCATTTTCTTTGCTATCAGATCCGCTAGTTAGCAAGTCAGTACCTATACTGTTAAACACTGTGTCAATCTGTTCAAATTGGTTAAAAAAAAATTACATGTTGTAACCTAAAATTAGTATTTTAAACTCCTATACAGAACCGAACCAATAAAATATAACTCTTACCTGATTACTAGTACTGCTAGATTTTGCCTCTTCAGATACATTCATTTGATTAGTTATATCCAAAGTTCTGTAGCACAAAGCAAAAATAATATGAAAGTGGTAATGGCCTCACCATAAATCAATAAAGTAGATTATTCTTCTACATTAATTCTTAATATTATGCTAAAAATATTCTTTTATCATAGCATTTTATCACGTATTTTGGATAACTGGGTGAAAACGGAAATTTATGGTGAATGTATTTGCCAATTTCAAATGTTGACAAGGATAGCATACAGGGCAGGACTGGCTATTTCAAAGAACTCCCAATTATTGGAATGAGAACCTGGTAAGGTTTTATTACATCTGGTACCACTGACCAACCCATTTCAGTTGTAGTTAAACTGGTAAGCTGAAACTGATTAGAGACATACTTACTTCTGCTGTTCTTGCATTACATGAAGTTGTTCAAGTTTGGTCTTATGCTCAGCTTCCAGTCTATTAAGCATATCTTTTATGACACAAATGAAAGAATTGAACTTAAAAAGAGAAACGTGTAGAATATTAGGATTCTGCACAAAACTGTCAACAAATGCATGCATTGCGTTCCAACATGATTTACAGCTAAAAAACTCATAGACGCAGAACTTAACAATCGTTCAATAACTTGTAAAGCTTGTATTACACAATACACAAATAATCTCCACCAGTTTTTGAAAAAGTATTTTTATTTGCTTTTACCATCTTGCATGAAACACCCCTTATAAACAGAATGTGATACTGAAACCTGACAGCAGTACGCCTGCAGTAGGATCTGAGGCAACCCATGTGAAATAGATTCAATGTTACTTTATTTGAAAAAGGATATTCTTAAGAATTCAATTTTCCTTCTTAAATGTATAGCAAAGTGTTTTTACATTGCCACAGTATTAATCATATTTGTGAATAAAACTAAGAACTGAAATTAAGACTATATTTTAAAATTAACTGAAGTATTATTTAGGTTGTTAATTATGTTTCCAGGACAACACCAGATATTGCTATATTACTCCTTTGTTTCCAATTTTGTTGACACTCAGTATATTTTGTTCTGAACATATTTGTGGTATATTTTAATGAAGGCATATCTGTTAAATGTTAATCTTCCCATCAATCTCAGAAAAAATTAGAGGAGTAATTTTAATGTCATGTTATGTTCTACACTCAGTAACTTCAAAACCAATAAGCTTGTAGTCAGTTTCTCAATCCAGTTATTTCCTACAGCATAAAAAAAAATAGATGAGTAGCAGGAATATGAATTAAGCTAATGAGGTGCCATGTTCTTTCTATTTTGAATCCCACAGCATTTACCTTCTGAGGGCTGACTTGGCGGCTAGTAACACAAAGATGTCAGAAAATAAGCTTGTGCTTGTTAAAGTAAATCTGACTTACACCCATGAGTTTCCGTTAATTTTGAATCCAGTGAATTACCTAACAGTTCTTACATTTATAATAAAGAACAACATAAGTAGTTGCATTTAGTACAGTAACTGATCTCCAACAGTGGCAAGTAGTAGAGGTTTTAGGAGACTATGCGAACAGGGTACATCTAGAATAATCCATCTCATTTCATACCCTTGCTGGCATCAACCATCATTAGTTTACAGATTTCAGATTTAGAGAGAGATCCCTGAGTGTTCAATTTAATAGCTTCCAATGGACCTGTCCTCCATTAATCTGTCTCATCACTTTTGTAACCAGGTTATACTGTCTGTCTTCACAACTTCTTGCGACAACAGATTCCACAAGTATATGCTGCGTAATGAAGTACTTCCTCTTGTTTGTTTTAAACCTGCCTCTTGATAATTTCAGTGGGTGCCCCTTACTTATTGTAGACTGGGACTGGGTGAGTAACAGTTCTCCTATCCTTCATGATCTCATATCCCCCCACCTTTGTCTTTCCAAACTGAAGATAAAAATTTAAGTTACTGAGGTTAGTTGGACTTTATATGGCAAGTATCAGTGAAAATCTGATGATAAAGCTGAAATTTAAGTTAGAAAGGAACAATTTAAATACAGTGAAAACTGATACAACTCATTTGAATTTGAGCATCACATTTCAAATTACTTGGGTGCAACGATAGAGATTTTTGGGGCCGATACCAACAGCAGACATTTAAGGAAGCATATTGGCCAATACCCATCCGATTTCTGATACAGCTGCCTCCAGCTGGTAAGTCCAGTGTGGTGAAAGGGGAGGGGGAAGTGAAGGGACATGGGGGGGCAGATAAACACCCCGCACAGTGAGGGACGAGGGAGGGGCAGGCACTGCCCAGGCAGGGTGACGGGGAGGAGCTGCGGTTCATGAGGGGAGGGAGCAGAGGCAGCTCCCACCACTTCTTGCATCCCAGAAGGGCACGGCAGGGAGGGGTGGTGCCCCTGGATCTGTACAGGATGGGCTGCAGCCGGTGCTGCACAGGGCTCTTCTCAGTGGGGGCTGAGCTCAGAGAGGGCGCCAGTGGTGCTGGATGATGCATCTACCCCAAATTTTCTGCCACTCCTCTCCTAGCACCACCACCACCAGCCACCCGGCACTGCCCCAGCTCAGTGCCCTGCCTCCACCCTGGCGCATAGGTGGGCTGCAGCTGGCGGCAACGAAGTTTGGGGTGGATGCAGCATCCTCCCAGTGCCTCTGGCCCCTGCCGAGAAGAGCCCTGTGCAGCCCCAGCTGCAACCCACCCCACCCTGTGCAGATCTGGGGGACACCGCCCCCCCTCCTGGTGCCCTCCCAGGGTGCAAGCAATGGCAGGAGCCCCCTCCCCCCATCACAAGCCACAGCTCCACCCCACCCCCTCAGCATCTGGCCCTGCCCCTGCTCCCTCCCTTACGACGGCGTGGGGGGGGCGTGTTGAACTGCATCCCCCCACATCCTTTCCCTCCCCCCTCCCCTTCCACAACACCAGACTTACCAACTGGAGACAGCTCTCCACACTGCAGGTTGTGCTCCTTGCTGTCTGAGAGCTATGCACAGCATGAGCATTTATCAGCCAAATTATCGGCCCCATCAGCCAGTTTTGTTTATATTGGTACTGATCTGGTATCGGACCTATGTATCAATGCACCTCTACTTACCAGATCCACTGAAGAAGCACTGCTATTTAAGCCTAACCGTTCCGATATTACTATTGTACATTTGTATCAAAATGTACCGATTAAGAAAATCTTCTGTGACACAATATTTTACCTTTACTTCTAGATCACCTAATTAGGTAAAAGCATGCAAAAATTAAAACTGTGTTCTTACCTGATTGAGATTTAGATTGTTTTCAATACTCAGAGGAATCAGATGGGGTAATACTTTTCCTGCAAGTTGTTCTTTGGTAATTCCCAACTTCTTGTGAGTAAATGTGCATTTGTAAATACCTGACACACATCATTGAGAGAGATGAAATTCAGTAAATATTGTGAATGAGCTCTAAGAAAAATACACTTACTATGCATACTGAAAATTAGCCAAAACGCAGGATGCAAAAGGCAGGTTACCAGGGAAAGATCCACCTATGGAAGATATTGTTTAGTGTGCAGCTGAACCTAAAACAGCTTAGAAATCATAACACCAAAAATATCAGCAGCAGAACTCTTGTTCCTTTGACCAGCTTCCCCTACTAGGAAGAGATGGTGTTCGCCTGATTCAAGAGGGGAAAGTTGTATTTGCATTTAAGTTTGCTAACCTAATGAGGATGACTTTAAATTAGGTTCAACAGGGCAGAGACAAAAAAAGGAAGTAAGTATAGAGCTAGGTAGCCTAGATAAAAAACAAACAAACAAATACATAAAATCCAGAAAAAGGGGGCAATAGGGAACCTTAAAACTATTCTTAGAGACAAATTACTGCCATGGGCTAATTACCTTAGCTGTTTATATACCAGTGCAAGAAGTATGGGGAATAATCAGAAATTACTGGAATTCCTCCTTGTGGGCAGCCCCTTGATATGAAGTTGACAGTCTTCCAGTAAAAGAGGGAAGTCATCAGTGAGTCTGCAGATGACTGAAGAGGCCAATCAAAGATTCTCATGTTTGACTGCAGATATCACAAATAGTTCTGGGAGGAAGACGTGTTTGTGATGTCAGGCCACAGCTCTTTCCCTTTGCTTCTCTTATCAACCTCCATAGTCAGTTAAATTTGTTCGACACTATCAATGGCTCGTCATACGTCACGGTGGCACTGGGGACAATTCAGTACTTCAGTCTCTCAGCTGTTGATATTAATATTTCATTTCTTCAGGTTGGCCTTCAAAAAATCCTTGAATCTCTTCTTTTGCCCACAGCTAGAGCAGTGTCCATCGATAAGTTGGAAGTTCAGGACCTGTTTTGGGATCAGTTGTCAAGCATCCTTATACGATGTCATGAGCAACAGCGTGTCATATAAACATGGCTTCAATGCTGGTGGTGTTTGCTTGAGCCAGAATGCTGGTGTTTATTCTTCTCTTCTTCCAGTTAATATAGAGGATTTTTTGAAGATATTACTGATGGTAATATTCCAAAGCTTTCAACTGTTTCTGCTATGTCATCCAAGGTTCACACTGATACAACAGGGTAGGGACAACAGCCTGGTAGACAAGAAGTTTTTTTGAGTCTTGATATCATCGTCATTGAACACACATTTTTGGACATGTCCAAAGGCAGCACTGGCAGATTTTATCCAGTGTTGAATACTGTCATTCATATTTCCTTTTTGGGAAAGGTGGCTACCCAAATAGAGGAAATGTTCAACATTTTCAAATGATTACCTTCTAATTATAGTATGTAGAAGAGTAGCTGGCTAGTTTGGGGTGGGTTGATTAATTATCTTGGTTTCTGTGAGGTTGACAGACAGTCCAAGCATTTCATACGTTTCACAGAAGTGATCAAGAGTGACCTGGAGTTCTTAAACTAAGTTAGCACACATGACAATTGTCAGCTTACTGAAATTTAGTAACAGAAGTGTTAGTTATCTTGGATTTGGATTTTCATGAAATACTGGGATGCTAATTCCAGATGGAAGTTTACTAGTGATGAGATGCAGAATAGCTGTGATATAGATGGAAAAGTATGTTGGTGCAGTCACGTATCCTTGCATGACTCTAGTTCTAATAGTGAAAAGGTCTGTTTCCAAGTCATTGCTTTGGATGGCTGCTGTTGTATCATCATGAAAGAGTTTGATAACGATAAATTTTGATGGGCACTCAAAATCAGGATCTTCCATAGGGGCTCTCTGTTGATTGAATTAAAGGCCTTAGTCAGGTCAATGAAGGCCATGTAAAGATCTCCGTGTTCCTCAGTGTCAGGATGACCAGGGAGGTAGGAGAGTTTTTCACTAAGGCACTGCTGCAGAGGATCACTTTTAACAGGGTCTTTCAAGAACATAATATTGAACCTCTCCCTTGGTTGCTTTTGTGTCATTTTAGAGCTACACAAATAGATTTGATGGGACATATCAAACAATGATCCTTCCCACAGCCATCTGCAGTGATCTGGCATGGACATGGCAGTCCCATGCACAAACTATGATGCAGTCAATCAGGTGACTGTTTTGAGTGGGGGTGCATCCATGATGTTTTCCATTGTTGCTTTGGAATAATAAAATGTTTATGATGATAAAATCACATTCTAAAACACTTACTCAGGAGAAGAATGCCATTCGAATTTACTTTCTCCACCCTTTCCTTTCTAGTGTTTCTTTCCATAGCTCAGGGTCCCTGACCACTTTTGCACTGAAACTGCTGAGAAGAACAGTCTTACCTTCTTAGGAGACAGGTGATAGAACTTGGTTGAATTTACAATAGAATTCTTTTCGTACAATCATGGAAGTATGATGTAGTTGGGATAATGAAGACATGGTGAGATAGTTTGAAAGGAAGGAGTACTGTCATGGAGGAGTACAAATTTGTTCATGAAAGGCTGGCAAGGAAAAAAGGGAGATGGAATTGCTTTCTATAGAAAAGTTGCATTTATTGTGAAATGCAGTATGAAGTGAGAGATAGGTCTATTCAAAAACTATGGTCTAGATAAGAGGGGAGAACAGCAAGGCTGATGTCATGGTGGGCACCTGCTATAGAATAGAAGGTATTTATCAAGTCACAGAGAACCCGATTTTCATGGTGGACTCCAGTTTCCATAAAAGGGTAACAGCAGGGCACAGGCAGGCCAAGCTGCAAGGGTAACAGCGCAGCACAGGCAGGCCAAGCTTGTGGAGTAAGTTTGGGATAACTTTTTCATACTGGTGTTAGTGAAGCTGTCTTGATTTGCTGTTCACATAGAGGAAGAAAAGTGGAAGACAACTTGGGTAACAACCATGAAATGACAAGTATTCAACACTGGACTTCAGAAAAGCAAATCTAAACTCAGGGAAATGGTAGGCCGGATCCCCTGGAAGGCAAGTCTAAAGGGAAAAGAAGTCCAGTAGGCCATATTATGGGCATAAGAGCAAGCTATCCTGACATGAAGTAAGAACAGGAAGTCCAACTTAGCTAAACAATGAACTCTTCAATGAGCTGAAACCCAAAAAGGAATCCTACACAATGTGGAAACTTGACCATATAATGTGTGAGTAGTATAAAAGTATTGAATGGGCAAGCGAGGATAAAAGTGAGGAGGCCAAGGCACAAACTGAGACGCAACTAGCAAGGGATGCAAAAGGCAACTAAAAACATTCCAGAAGTATGTCAGAAAGAAGAGGAAGATCAATAGGAGTATCACTCGCAAATAAAGGGAAGTGATCCTTCTTCTCTGTGTGGCACTCATGAAGCTTCTGGAGAACTGTCAAGGTTTGGCCACCATACTTCAAGACAGACAGGGGCAGATTGGAAAGAATACAGGTGAGAGCAAAAAAATGATTAGCAATCTTGAAAACATCAAACTTACAAGAAAAAGTTGAAAGAACTAGGTCCCTTCCAGCCCTAATTTAGGATTAAGTTTGGAGCAGAGAAATCTGAGGTGGGATTTGATAACAACCTTCAACTATCTAAAGGATAGTTATACAGAGGATAATGATACACTTTTCCCTGTAGCTGAGAGGACAGGATAGAAAGCAACAGTCTTAAGACTGCAGCAAGGCAAATTTAGATTGTCTATTAGGAAAAATTTCTAGCTATAAGGGTAGTTAAGCATTGGATAGGCTACTAGAGAGTTTGTGGAATCACCATCCTTGGACGTTTTTAAGAGCAGTTGGAAAAACACTCGTCTGGGATGAGTTAAACAGAGGTGATCTCGCCTTAAGCAGAGGTGTGGACTTGTTGACCTCCTGAGGTCCCTTCCGGCCCTATTTTTTCTTTTAATGATTCTGTAAAAACAGTAAACTCCAATGTAATTTGGCTACAAAAAGAAGCCTCTTTTATAACATACAGAACAGCAGCAGCAATAAGTCAGTGACTCAAGGCTATGTGCTATGGCTGTGGAACAAAGCAACACTCTGTATTTTGAGTATGGATGCTACCCTTGGTATTTCTCTGAAAACTTGCTGCCCACTCTCTCTCTCTCTCTCTGCATTCTACAGTAACTCTTTTAGGAAAGTTAGGTCTGTGTTAAATACAAAGTGAAACAAGACAATCTAACGGCCCCTTTTTCTCTTGAAATAAAAAAAACAAAACAACTATGGAAAAAATGGATACAGACATGGATGATGGATCTAATTTTAAGCCTAGTAAGCTTATACAGTATAACCTCACAAATCCAGAATTATTGAAAATCCAGCACTTTATAAAACTACACTCCTTTGGGGAGTAGCAGCAGCCAGTTCCGGAGCAGCAGAGGGGGAAGCTTGCATGCTCCAGCTGCCGCCACCATCCACCACCCTGTGTCACTGCTCTGTGTACGGCTGCCCTCGCCCCACTGGCCACCGCTTCGGTTTCAAAAATCCAGAATTTTCACATTTCTGCCAAGTGCTCGGTCCTGAGCATGCCAGATTCATAAAGTTATACTGTACCATGTTACAAGGGCACGCATTTCATACAGCAGAATACTTGCTTGTTTAAATATCCCATTTGCTGAAAATGCATGAACTGTAACAGTAAAGATCAAACAGAAGAAAAGCTCTGGAATATGCTTTTTTATGGCTGTCATAAAAAAGGTCTATCAGCCAGCCAGGAAAGATTCAGTTCCTGACTTAGAACATATGGGTGTAAGTGGGGAAGAAAGAGATGGCAGGATGAACATAAACATGACCCCCATGTTAGGATTCTTGTACCTGAGCAGTTTGGGCACCATATAGTTAAGGATCAGATAGGATAAAACCACAATTCTTTTGTGGACAGGAGACAGCTTTAACTAATGCTACCAATTAGGGTAAAATTTTATGCAAACCTACCCACAGCTACAGCTTCATTCTACATGCCTTCCCACTTCCAGACACATGCCCTCTTTTTGCTTATACGGAGGAACGCTGGTCAAGGATATTTGAATGTGTCCAAGAGCAGTGTACACAGCTGTTCTCAGGCAAATTCACATCACTTCAACACCTGGAGGATCCACAGAAGTTACACAGACCAGCTGCTGTGGAAGATGTTTCTGACGGACTACAAGCAGTATCAGGAATGGATTTTGTAATAAAAAAGGACGCACCTAAGAAATTAGGTACTAGGCTTGTGTGAAGCAGCTAGTATTCGCTTTGGATTTGGCCAATTCAGGGGATAGTGATTTGATTTGGTGATTCAAATCACTGTCTTGAATTGATCTGGCTGAATCCGATTCAGAGGTTTGGCCGCTGCCAAATCAGCTGAATCTCCGAATCAAATAGGCCCCATTCCCCACCCACTCTCCCAGCCCCATCAATGGCTGCCCCGCCCAGCCCCAGCATCCCGGCTCTTTAAAACAAAAGACCCGCACTCACCGGTTCCTGCCAGGTGGTGGGGGGTGATCCCCACTGCCCCACACTACGTGGAGGGACCTTTGCCATGAGCCCCTAAAGGCCCTGACGGCCGCTGCAGCGGCCAGTGACTGGGTTTTTTTGTTTTGTTTTTTTTAAAAGCACTAGGATGCTGGGGCTGGGTGGGGCAGCGGGTGCTCAGACAGGCTAGGGGAGCAGGCAGGGGACAGGGCCTGGTGGGGATCTTCCCCATGGTCCCCTTCCCCCTCCTTCAGCCCCTCTCCCCACTGCCCCCTACTTACTGGCAGGGAGTCAGGGTCCAGCTCCCTGTGATGGCGAGCGGGGACTGCCCGAATCTCCAAATCTCTCCAAATCAATTTGGACTTTTTCATTGGTCTCCTGATTTGATTCGGATTCGGAGATTCGGCCGCTGAATCAGGCCAAATCTCCTCCAAATTGAATCAGCATCCAAAGCTTCGCACAGCCCTATTAGGTGCCTCTAATAGGCTGCTATGCAAAGTTTCAACTATGAAACATACAGACTTATCAAAGTATATGTAAGACTGCTACATCAAAACACTAAAAGAAGATTAAAATAAAAACTGTTTATTACCTAAAATTCCCATTAGTACTGCAGGTTCCTTGGATGGAATTTGTTGTAGGAAAGGCAGAATGTCATCAAGTACAAACCACTTATCCAAGTACTCCAAAATCTTTCCTAAGCACACTAGTGAGTTTACACGGACCTATTGCATATGAAACAAGAGTTAGGCAATGTGTCCAAGTTGAGTTTTTCCTAGAAGCACACATATACAATATATTTGACAGATGTAAGGTGGGTGATTTCTTTTTATTGGACCAATTGCATGGTTGGGAGAGACTCAGACAAGCTTTCAGAAGCAGAGAAGCCTTCTGCAGGTCTCTAGAAGAGAAGCACACACAGCAGAGCTAAATAGCAGATGGGACAAAGGCTTGTGGAAAACTACATCTTGTTCCACGTACAAATTTCCTGCATCATAAGAGAAATATGATTTCAGCACTACATAAAATATTTAGTCTTTTTAGAAGAATACATATAACTCCTTAAATTCTATAGAAAATTAGATTTGCATGATCCTTGAGGTTCCTTCCAACTCTGTGAATCTATAAAGTTACATTTTTACAAAATTATCAAGTTCTATCCAATAAGAAATTTTTGGTCCTTTAATGCAATATGTTTAAACATAATGTTTCAAGATAGCATTTCTACAATGCTAAAACATCAGAGCACCTTGTAAAAAAAAGTCTAACAGCAGATTTCCATTGGGCGGGGGAGGCGTGTGAAAAAGAAAAGAAAAAGAAAAAAGATAAATGTGCTTTCTTCCCCCTGCTTGACAAAAAAAAAAAATCTTACCTTTCATTGTCTAACACTTAAGAGTGGAATGAGACCTATCGAGAGGTAATCAAATCTGAACTATTTGATAGAATCTCAACAGAAAATGCTTAAAGAATTTAACCGATTAGTTTATACTAGAGAAAATAAAGCTTGCTGTTCCACAGTGATACTATTTTTGTTGTGATCCAAATACATTCTTGCTCTAGACTATTACGTAGCACCTCTCCAATTCTGAAGACTGCTACCAAGTTACCATTTTCAAGAGACAAAAGCCCCAAGGAAGGAACAGTAGAAACAATGCATGATTCCTTCCTATAGTCACAGCTTGTATCTTGTTTTTTCTTTAGAGAGAAACTACACTTAACATAACTTGGAAGCTTGCATGAAACCCACTGAACTGAAATGCTATATTACGCATTAACTCAATTATAAGACGAGGTGCCCCACCTCCTCCATTTAACATGTGGGGGGGGGGGGGGCCTGTCATCTTAGAATTG